AGAGAGAGAGAGAGAGAGAGAGAGAGAGAGAGAGAGAGAGAGAGAGAGAGAGAGAGAGAGAGAGAGAGACTATCAGATGGATGGATACATATTAAGAAAAAAAGACCATACATGTAGGCTAGTCTAATATTTCTGTTTTAGTTTTATGAAATAGTCAGAAACGGGAAACCGAAATAGAACAGGTAAATGGGGGAAAGTGGAGGCAGGGATAAAATGAGAAAGGATGTAATAATTTTGGTTTGGGGGGGGGAAGGGTGCGAAATGTGATCCCAATCAAGAGCATGAATTGTATAAATTTAACAAGAAGACTGCATGGGGCAGACGATTATTGCGTGAGAGATTTGCCGACCTAGCGGTAGGCCGGCTGTCCTTCGAACTCTGAACCACTGGGCTCAACTGGGCTGACTGAAAGGTAGCACTTGAAAACAATCGCGGGCATCACCCCACACCTGCAGCTGGTACACATCAAAGAATACGTTTTCGGTAACGCACGCGCGCAGGTGATAAACTCCGAGCCAATCAACATACGCCTAGCGACGCCTGGGGTAAAAACGATGCGCTGAGCGGCGATACGATTGGGCGAGAAGAGTGGCCACGCGACGCGTTGGTAGCGGTACGCTTGGCGTAGGGCGAGATGAGAAGCTTCAAAGAGGGGGCTACGCTTTGAAGAGGTAACGGAATTCTAGGCCTACAAAGGGCCAGTTGTTGAATAAGAGGTGTTCAGACAATCAGTGATAGGAGTCGCCCTGAGTTAGCATCATAATAAGTCTTTAAAAGCAGAGCTCTGGTGCCGAAATCATTGTGTCTTTAGAAGAGAAAACAGAAGGTTGCGCCTTACTCTTTTGTAAGGAGTGTTTGTACTCCAGGCTGGAAAATGCTTTTGATCCTTAGAGGACATGTGAGAAATCTGGAGCAGAGTGAGCGTCTTTTTTCATCTCTAGGTTGACCTTTGACTCGTCATGACCCTTCGACCCACTGAACCAGTTAGGCTTTAAATTAAAAAGTTGGGTATCTCGCGAGGGGTGGTTTCCGACCTCAAAATCGAGGGCGTGGTTTTAAAAAGAGATACATTTTGGAGGGTCCCTTCAAGAAAGACCAACTATTCATTTATAATTGCAGCCAGATAAAATAACCCATAGAATTAATACAAATTTTGCGTTTTCAACAGTTATATTATGTGGCACCCAGTGTAAATCCCCCCC